TGACTCGATGTTGTCAGATTTGCTTCAAGAGAGGGTTGGGCAGGCGGTGGTGAGGGAGGGACGGCATGGGAATTTTTATAGGGTGATATAAGCGGGGGTGAAGGCATTGCGTGATGTAAGCGGGGGTGAAGGCATTGGGTGATGGAAGCGGGGGTGAAGGCATTGGGTGATGTAAGCGGGGATGAAGGCATAGGGTCATAAGCATGGCATGCGAGGATCAGCAAACATATATGCCCAACCTGGGTGATAATGAGGGCGTCATAGATAGGTTGCTGAATCTGAGGTATGCTTTGTGGGTACTGGATCACGGAACTAACCCTTTCTAATCTACACAAACCGTCTCCTACCGTCTTCCAACTGTGACCTGTCCCACCTCCCACCGCCTCCCACCGTCTCTCCCCATCTCCCCCCATCTCCCCCTGTCTCCCCCCGTCTTCCCCCGTCTCCCCCCGTCTCCTCCCGTCTCCCCCGTTTCCTGCACGATGGAAAGTTAGACATGGCGAGAGCTTCTCGTCGTTTCCATCTAGAAGCCATACCTGCGCGACGAACACTCCCGCCTCTCTACAAGCTGCTTCGATTTCAGCCGCATTTTCGTCCACGAACACGCCGACAGGCACTGCGCCGCCCGACCTCGCGGCCGCCGCGACTCGCGCCGCCACTGGCAAAGCGATCGACCGCTTCGCCTTGGGCCACAGGATCATGCCGACAAACGCGGCGCCATTCGCGGCGGCAAACGCGGCGTCTTCCTCGGACGTCACCCCGCAGATTTTGGCCTTTGGGCGTGCGGAGGTGGCTGACGTGGCAGGAGTCGCTGACGTGGTTTGTTCAGACACTGCCTTCGTTGCAAAAGTGATTGAAAGGTTGCCACGTGGCGTCCTACGATTGGCAGACCCATCTGTGCGCGCGCGCGTTAAATTTACAGGGAAGAAAGAGCTTGCGAACTGGATGTTGGTGGAGCCGAGGAAATGCGAGCGCGGGCGAAAGGCTGGCGCGGAATGCGGGGGATGTTTCAAGGTTGAAATGGCAGCGGAGGCCATGGCTGAAAGCTTCACCGCGCCGCCAGACCTAAAAGCTAGTTGAAGGTCCTAGAATTTGGTCAGGAATAAACGACGTTGTTTGCGGGTGGTGTGTGAGTGAGTTGAGGTGATTTTCTTCCCAAGCGTGTTCGGAAAGTGGAGGTTTCAGCTTTCGGTAGTTGGATTTTCTGTACCTCGTCGCTTCTCAGTGGTTTGGAAATTCCCCGAGTGCGAAAGATTGGATCAACCAATGTGGCGAACTTTCGCAGTGCTGTGCTTAACGATGTCCTGGAGATGACGCTTTGTTGCAGATGCTGTATATTGGTTCGGTTCGTTCGGAAGAACTCGTTCGCAGAATGGTTCGGTACGAAGTTCTATTTATGGCTGAGGGATTGGACTCGTAATGTTCGGGCGAATGTATATTTGTATCGCCACAGCGACTTCACGGGATGCTCTCGCGCCGCCTGTCAAAGGCGACACAACGGGATTCTTCTCGCATAGGAATCATCGTGATCGTTTTCTCATGGAGGAATGAATGCTTTTCCTCCCTTTCCACAATCCCCGTCAGATTGTCCTCGATTATCTCGACGATCGATTATCTCACCGAAACGCTGCTAGCAGCAACATTAGTGATATCCAAAATACTCCATGACGTTTTTGACTGGAAGCAGCAAGTTCGCTCGTATCACCGCTGACAGAAACCACCGGAGTTCTTCTTTAGCGATTTAAGAAGAAGAGAACGAAAAGCAACATGAGTCTTGTCTGATAGATTGGGGTTTCATCTCAAGTAGAGATTTCGCTAGGCCAATCCCTGCCTGTCAGCAACCTCTGCTGCATCGGCGCGCAGCTGCTGCTAGGTACGACGAGGCGAGTCTATCGGAACGGTGTCTTGGCCAGTGTCGATAATACTAGGCCAGTCTATCGGTACGATCGTTTCGGCTGCTGCCACGTGGCAGCACATGGCTGTGGATTCGTGGGCGACGCGGAACCCGTTCTTTGACAACGGGCTCCATGCGTGGTACGCGTTACGAGGCGGCGACGACACGTGTCGCCTCGTGATGAGCGAGAGTGCATCACGCGAGAAGGCGTGGCACGGCATGACCCAGGATGTTTTAAGTCGGCTCGGTGTGCAGCGGTGCGCAGCAGTGCTGATGGGTCGCAAGGAGGCGTGGCACGGTATAGCGCAGGACATTCACAGGCGTCTCACGCCCCACTGCCGTTACAACGTCACTGCTGACGTCAGCGTGAGGGACTCTGGTAGGAATATAGCAGCTGCAGCGGCGGCAGTGGTGGCAAGAGGAGGAGTGAGAGGGAGAGGGGCAGAGAGGGGGGCGGGAGGAGCGGTAGGGGAGGGGGTGGTAGGGAGGCAGGCAGTACCAGTGCTGGTGACGGTGCGATGGGATTTCGAAGAAGGATCTCAATACAACCAAGCATGCAGGTTCGTGCATACAGGTGTCCTTGTGTGTGTGTGTTGGGGGGGGGAGGAAAGCTAGGGGGACGGGGGGGGGGGGTGAGTGGGGGTTTTCGTGAGTGTGTGTGCTCGTGCATGCATCTGTGTCTTCCTGTGTTGTGCAAGTGTGTATGCAGGTATATGTGTGCATGTGTGTGCATGTGTGTGCATGTGTGTGCATGTGTGTGCATGTGTGTGCATGTGTGTGCATGTGTGTGCATGTGTGTGCATGTGTGTGCATGTGTGTGCATGCTTGTGCATGTGTGTGCATGTGTGTGCATGTTTGTGCATGCGCGTGCATGCGAGTGCATGTCATATCAGCCTGTGCCCGTGTGACATGCTCCCCGTGTGACATGCTCCCCGTGTGACATGCTCCCCGTGTGACATGCTCCCCGTGTGACATGCTCCCCGTGTGACATGCTCCCCGTGTGACATGCTCCCCGTGTGACATGCTCCCCGTGTGACATGCTCCCCGTGTGACATGCTCCCCGTGTGACATGCTCCCCGTGTGACATGCTCCCCGTGTGACATGCTCCCCGTGTGACATGCTCCCCGTGTGACATGCTCCCCGTGTGACATGCTCCCCGTGTGACATGCTCCTCGTGTGACATGCTCCCCGTGTGACATGCTCCCCGTGTGACATGCTCCCCGTGTGACATGCTTCCGTGTGACATGCTCCCCGTGTGACATGCTCCCCGTGTGACATGCTCCCCGTGTGACATGCTCCCCGTGTGACATGCTCCCCGTGTGACATGCTCCCCGTGTGACATGCTCCCCGTGTGACATGCTCCCCGTGTGACATGCTCCCCGTGTGACATGCTCCCCGTGTGACATGCTCCCCGTGTGACATGCTCCCCGTGTGACATGCTCCCCGTGTGACATGCTCCCCGTGTGACATGCTCCCCGTGTGACATGCTCCCCGTGTGACATGCTCCCCGTGTGACATGCTCCCCGTGTGACGTGCTCCCCGTGTGACGTGCTCCCCGTGTGACATGCTCCCCGTGTGACATGCTCCCCGTGTGACATGCTCCCCGTATGACATGCTCCCCATGTGACATGCTCCCCGTGTGACATGCTCCCCGTGTGACATGCTCCCCGTGTGACATGCTCCCCGTGTGACATGCTCCCCGTGTGACATGCTCCCCGTGTGACATGCTCCCCGTGTGACATGCTTCCGTGTGACATGCTCCCCGTGTGACATGCTCCCCGTGTGACATGCTCCCCGTGTGACATGCTCCCCGTGTGACATGCTCCCCGTGTGACATGCTCCCTGTGTGACGTGCTCCCTAACAGGGCCATGGTGAAAGAGGGCCAGTGGGTGAGGCTGCAAGGACACTTCACCGCTCCACATCGCATTCCACTCAAAGTGGGTTGATACAATGCAGGTACGCTGGCCCAGGAGAATGGCTATGAGACTGTTAGGCTGCGCCAAGGGCGTCAGAGCAGCACCACACACACTGTGTGTGAAAATTTCAAGGCAGAGCCATGCGAAGTTGCTCGTTCGAGGAGAGAAAAGAAACAAAGCCGGTGAGGAGCCATGAGTAGTTGATAGACGTCTCGCAAGTCAACGTCGAGGGGTATGAGAAGGAGCGAAAGGGGGTGAGGGTGGCACAGCACTCTCTCACACAGTGCAGCACGCTATTGTTCACCTTTCTCTACCAATTAGTCATCCCTCTGGGCCGATCGCCTCTCCCATCTTCCCATCCACACCCCATCGCACCCCATCGCACCCCATTTGTACCCCATCGCACCCCATCACACCCATCACACCCCATCGCACCCCATCGCACCCTACCGCACCCCATCACACCCCATCGCACCCCATTGCACCACATCGCACCACATCGCACCACATCGCACCACATCGCCCCCGATCTTACGTGGTTGTACCACGTCCTCATCACATATGCACCCTCTCTCCCCACTCTTCCCCTCATCATCGCCTCAATCAGGTGACAGCTTACATCGAGGGTCCCCCTCCCGCATTCGACCTCCTTATTAGCCTTTTCGCTATAGTCCCAGCCTCCGACCCACAGCCCACCTTCCCCCCTCTTCCACCCACTACTGCTGCTGCTGTGAACATTCCCCTTCCTCTTACTCGTACTAATTTCCCTCCTCCTCTCACTCCTCTCACTTCTCTTGCTGATCCGAACGCATCAGCGGCAGCAATTTTCCCACCTTACCCCACTTCTTCTCCTCGTCCTCCTCTCCACCCTCCCCTCCGTTCCCCTCGCCCCAACCTCCTCCTCAACGGCGATTTCTCCCTCCGCACTGCTAGCTGGCGGCCCATGGGTGGCTGTGAGGTGCTGACGTGGCACGCGCCGTGCTCATGGGGCTCTGCAGTTGGTCCTCCGGTGGAGCCCTCCTCCCTGCCCGCCTCTCATCCCTGCACCGTGTTTGAGCGGCGACAGATGCAGCTGCATGCACAGTGGAAGCAGCAGCAGAAGCAGCGGCAGCAGCAGGAACGGCAGCAGCAACAACAGCAGCAGAAACGGCAGCAAGAGCAACACTCTGACTCTAAACAACGCGATCCTATGTCATCAAGCCTTCTTTTGCCTCTGATTGAACCTGTCTCCTCGGTGCCTCTAGCAGGAGGACCCACAGGTGCCTATGTGGAAGTGACAGGTAGGACTGCCACGTGGCATGGGCCAGCTCAGGACATCGCAGCAGCCAATCAGAGCCCTGAAAGCAGCACTGCCCGGGCTGATGATAGAGCTGACGGTGGGCCAATTCGTCTGTTTGTGACGTATGCTGTGAGCGCGTGGGTGCGTTTGGGGAGAGACAGACGGCACAAAGAGCACGGGCGGGGAGAACAGAAAATCCTCCCCCTCTTTGCAAGAAAGGAAAAAAAAGCAGAGGAAGGAGGGGCAGAAGAAACGGAGGCAGCAGAGGCAGAAGGAGTGGAGGAAAGGGTGAAATCACATGCAGTGAACATCGCACTAGGGGTGGATGGGGGATGGGTAAATGCTGGTTCGGTAGAAGCTTCCGGGAAGGAGTGGGTGCGGTGCTGGGGGTCGTTTCGCCTAGAGAAGCCGTACAGGCAAGCAGTGCTGTACGTGCAGGGCCCGCCGCCAGGTGTCAGCATTCAATTGGCCGATGTGCACGTGGTGCCTGTGGAGTGGCGGGAGAGGGTGCCATGGCTGCGCGAGCAAGCAGACAGGGTGAGATGTGGAGTGCGGTGGAGAGTGGTAGAGATGGGTGAAGAGGGGTGGAGAGGGGTGGAGAGAGGTAGAGCAGGGTGGAAAGGGGTGGAGAGGGGTGGAGAAGGGTGGAGAGGGGTTGTTCACTGTAGGGTGTGACTTTTGCTCCCAAGCCCCAACCCCTCCCGCACCCCCTCCGCCCCTTCCCACCCACACCCCTTCTCCCCGTCCCACACTCCCTCTCTTTTTCCTACACCCCCTCTCTCCGACATGCCCACATGCCCAATCCTCCTCCCACCACAAACCTTTGCCCCCCCCACACACACCCCTCTTTCCCCCATCAGCTCCGTAAGGGATCGTTTCGTCTCCGCCTCCTCTCCGCCACACAAAATTCCTCCCTCCCAAATACACCGCATTTAACTCCCTCCCACACCCCTTCTCCCCTCCCCACCACGCCCTCTTTCCCCCATCAGCTCCGCAAGGGATCACTGCGTCTCCGCCTCCTCTCCGCCGCCGGCCAGCTAATCCCGTGCGCCCACGTGTCAGCCAATCAGACGCGCCGTGCCTTCCCCCTGGGTACCTGTGTGAACTCGAGGGACCTGCTGGGGAACCCACGCTACCAGTCCTTCTTCCTTTCCCGATCCCAGGGAGGGAGAATGGGAAACGAAAAGGATCCACAGATTTTTCGTGAGGGAAAGGGAAGCAGGTTGAGTGGGAGTGGGAGTGGGGCGTGGTTCAGCTGGGGCGTGTGTGAGAACGAGCTCAAGTGGACGAGTGTGGAGGCGAGGCGAGGCGAGGAGGACTGGAGGGACGCTGATGCCATGGTGACGTGGATGCAGGTGTGTGTGGTGATAGCTGGGGGTGAGAGTGGGGATGGGGAGGGGGATGGGGATGGGGATGGGGATGGGGATGGGGATGGGGATGGGGATGGGGATGGGGATGGGGATGGATATGGGGAGGGGGATGGAGATGGGGATGGATATGGGGATGGGGATGGAGATGGGGATGGAGATGGGGATGGGGATGGAGATGGGGATGGGGATGGAGATGGGGATGGAGATGGGGATGGGGATGGGGATGGAGATGGGGATGGAGATGGGGATGGAGATGGGGATGGAGATGGGGATGGAGATGGGGATGGGGATGGGGATGGGGATGGGGATGGGGATGGGGATGGGGATGGGGATGGGGATGGATATGGGGATGGAGATGGGGATGGAGATGGGGATGGAGATGGGGATGGAGATGGGGATGGGGATGGGGATGGAGATGGGGATGGGGATGGGGATGGGGATGGGGATGGGGATGGGGATGGGGATGGGGATGCAAGGACGAGGAGAGTGGATTGTGGGGAATTTCGTTGTGAATTTTGTTGTGCACATGCAGTTCAATGTGCACATAAATATCGTTTCAGTCCATACTGATTATCTTATGGCTGTTTGATCATGCGCGCATGTCTGCGTGCGTGCAGGAGCATGGAGTGGCAATGAGAGCACACTGTCTCTTCTGGGACAACATGCGCCCGCCTTGGGTGGACAAACTCTCACTCGCGGACCTCAAAGGTAATGCAGGCGACAGTCACCTTTATTGCCCTGTCGCTCCAAGCATGACTGTCCAGTGCCTTGAAGGTGTGCTGACAATGAGAGCAGTTGCACATGAGCAAGGCAATTCAAATGCACTGCCCTGTTTGAAACAGCATGCGGTCGGAAGGAGGCTTCCACCTACTATCCTCTCCTCTGCTCCGTCTTCCCTCTGCTCAATCTGCTCGTCCCTATCCTCCCTCTACCCCCCCGCTCCCTCCCCACATTGTGGGGCGCTACTTACAGCAGAATCACATCCCTCCGCGCTCGCTACCCCTCCTGCTTCGCTCACATGGATGTCAACAACGAGATGCTGCATGGGGGGTGATTCCCCTATTGCTGTGCCCAATCTACTTTCCCCCTCCCCCCCCCCCTACTCCCCATTCCTCCCCAACACAGATGCTATTGACAGCAGAGTCACGTCCTTCCTCACCCACTACCTCAACTGTTTTTCCACATGGATGTCAACAACGAGATGCTTCACGGGGATTGTTCTCCTCTCGCTGTGGCCAAGCTACTCTTCTCTCACCTACCTTCCCCATCCCACCCCTCCCCCCTACACAGAAGCTATTGACAACAGAATCACATCCCTCCTCTCTCGCTACCCCAACTGTTTCTCTCACATGGATGTCAACAACGAGATGCTTCACGGGGGATTCTTCTCCTCCCGCTGCGGCCCATCCATCATTCCCCGCATGTTCCAGTTCGCCGCCCAAATCGCGCCCTCCCTCGTCCTTTTCCTCAACGAGTACCACATAGAGGACGGCGAAGATGAAAAGAGCCGCCCGGAAAAGTACGCGCAGTTCGCCCGCCAGCTCATCGCCAGCGGGGCGCCAGTTGGCGGGCTCGGCACGCAGTGCCACATCAGCGCGCCAGTTGGTGCCCACATGCGGCATGCATGGAACATCCTGGCAGATGTAGGGCTACCAGTTTGGGTTACAGAGCTAGATGTGAGCTCTGTAGACGAAAAAGTGAGGGCAGATGATTTGGAGATTTGTCTAAGAGAGGCGTTTGGGCATGGGGGAGTAGAAGGGGTGGTGCTATGGGGTTTTTGGGAAGGTTCCGGCCTGGATCGACCGTCCATGTCGAGGAAAAATGCACACTTGGTGCGTTCTGATTGGTCGTTGACGGAGGCGGGGGAGAGGCTGGAAAGGTTGTTAGAGGAATGGACGACAAGGGGTGTGGTGGGGAGGACGGATGAGGAGGGGTGGTTTGTGGTTGAGGGGTTTGCAGGGGAGTACGAAGTGGTGGTGAGAGATAGAGGGAAGGAGTGGAGGACCATTGTGGAGGTGATTCCGCAGAAAGAAAGTGTTGTTGAGTGGAGGATTGAGAGCTGACAGATGTGACAGCTGCTGATTCAGCCAGATAATGCTGTGCATTCCGTATATAGTGTATATATGGTTCATGATTTGTGGATTCACTGTAATTTAAGTTGCGTCAGCGCGTGGCGCACACAATGAATGTCAAAGCAGAGAGCAGGGAGCACCTTCGCCTGAAACCTATTCTTCGATAGAAGGTACCCGGTACACCAATATATATGGTCATCATTGAATCGTATATGCACCAGTGCTTGTCGCCAGGCACCACCACCCGCCATTCCGCGCAGTTTTTTTTCGCCTTCACCCCCCCGTACCCTCCGCCACTCGGCGCGCCATCCTTCCGCGCCACCTCGTCGCCGCCCACCCCGCCCGCTTCGCCCACCGCGCCTCCTCATCGCCCCGGTCCGACGGCGCGGCTGCGCGCCGAGCTGCGCACACAGCTGCATGCGCGCATAGCTGCGCGCGTGCCGCTCATCGTCGTCGGGCGGAGGCTCCGGTCGCCCCGCCCCCCGCAGGCAGTCGATTGACGCGCGTGCGGGGCGCTGCTGCTGCGGCATTTCCGCTCGAATCTCCTCTCCGCATTCGGGCAGGCGCACCAGAGCGCGCTAAAGCGCGCCTAAACGCTCCAGAGCGCATGAGTGCGCAGCAGAGCACCAGCTCGGCATTCGTGCAGGCGCACCAGCGCACCAGAGCGCGCTAAAACGCGCCAGAGCGAATCAGAGCATGTCCGCTAATAGTGAGTCGCCATGCCTGCCGTCCACGTAGCCTGCACAATGCCCCTCCCACTTTTCCCCTTGCGCCCTAATCCTGCACTCCCCACTTCGTGTACCCGCTCTCCCATCCGCCTGCAACTCGGACTCTCCCTCTACCTCGCCCCGCCCCTCCTCTCCACTTCCTCCTCTCCCCCCGCCCCCACCCCATCCCCCACCCCTCCTGGCTGTTTCATTCCTGGCGCTTCCCCACGTTCTCCTTCCCCTTAGACTCCCCGTCGTCCATTCCTCCCCTCGCTCCCCGCCCCCCTCTCTTACGATTATTCCAGTGCTAGCAGGCTTCCCCACCGCCCCCATCAACGTGCACCTCGGGATCTCCCGGTACCCCGCACCCCGCCCCTCCTCCCGTCCCTCATTTCCCTCCACAATCCCCCTCCTCCCCCTTTCCCCCCTCTTCTCCCTCATCCCCCCTCTCCCCCAGATCCCCCATCAACTCGCACCTCAGGAGCGCCTTCCCCCACAACCCCACGCTCATTCCTTCCCCTCCACTCTCCACCCGTCACTCCCCCCTCCCCCCACGTCCCCCATGAACCCGCACTGGGGGATCTCCATTCCCCTTACCCCTTCAATCATCTCCATTCCCCTTACCCCTTCAATCATCTCCATTCCCCTTACCCCTTCAATCATTTCCTTTCCACCCCTTCCCCCTATCGCCCCTAGCTGTTTTGGTGCTAACAGGCTTCCTCACCTCCTCATCCATTTGCCCCCACACTCCTCCCTCCCCCTTCCCCCTCCCCCCCCCCCTCCCACCCCTTCTCGCCTCTCTCTTTCTATTATCCCAGTGTTGGCAGGCTTTCCCACCTCCCCCATCAACCCGCACCTCGGGATCTCCGCGTCGGGATCGGTGCCGCCCGGTGCCGCCCTCCTGCTGTGTGATGACGTGGCAGCAGAAGGAAGCTTCCTGCTGCTGCACCTCCTCAAGTCGCACCTGCTGCTGCCGCCCCCAGAAGGGGGAGGGGGGAGGGAGAGGCGGGGGGAGGAGCAGGGGGACGGAGGTTGCAGGGGAGGTGGGGAGGGGTGTGTGAGAACGGTGTGTTTGGTTGCACTGGCGCACCCTCCCTCTCATTACAGTCACGTCGCAAGGCGAATGGTATAGTCAAGCTCCTTCTCACTACAGTCACATTGCAAGGAGAATGGTGAGGTTGTATGCATGGGTGCATGTCCAGGAAAGGAAGCAACATGATGTCAGATGTCCCACATGAATCGGAAGGTTACGTCTCCTCTTTATTCACTGCCACTCGTTTTCCCTCCTCACTTCTGTTCTTCCCCCACTCCTTTCACTCTCCCACTCTCTCCTCTCTTCTTCTCTTCCCACGCCCTCCTCTCTCGTCTCCCCTCTCTTCTCCCGTTTCCCTCCTCCTCTCCCCCCCAGGGAGTTCACTTCCCCGACCTCTGCAGGCAGCATCGCCTGGCCATCATTGACGGCCAATCACAGGCCTACACGTGGCAGCCTGGTGGCTTAGATCATGCACGAGTGTGTCAGCAGCAAAAGGAAATGCCACATCAACAGGAGCAGCAGCAGCAGCAGCAGCAGCAGCAGCAGCAGCAGCAGCAGGCAGGAGTGTACCATTTCTCTCCTCCCTCTTACCCGCCCTCTCATGCACCCCCCACCAACAACCCGCCTCACTCTGCCAACCCCCTTCGCGCCCTCTACTCCTCCATCTGCTCTGCTGTCACCTCCCTTGGCTGCCCCCTCCACTCCTCCCAACCACCCCATACCCCTTCCCACCCTGCTGAACCCCTTTCTCACCCTGATCTCACTGCACTGACTCAACCTGCTGCTGATGCTGCTTGTTCTGGTGCTGGAGCTGCCACGTCACCATCTGGGGCTGCTGACGTGGCACCCGCAGCTCGGTGTGGCGGCCAGCTGTGCATCGTGATTGATGATGTGTCGTTGCTGGAGACGTGCGCGGGCGGCGATTCTCGGCTGGTTATGGACTTTCTGTCCGCATGCCGTGGCCTATGCACTAAGCACCATGTGAGCAATCTCAAATCTGTATTTGTACACTTATTGTCACACTTACTGTCAGCACACTCAGTGTCGCATTTGCACACTTAGTGTCGTATTTGCACACTTAGTGTCGTATTTGCACACTTAGTGTCGTATTTGCACACTTAGTGTCGTATTTGCACACCTAGTGTCGTATTTGCACACCTAGTGTCGTATTTGCATGCTCGTTGATATTGCTGCACACTTAGTAATCCATGCACGCACACCAAGCACAGCGTATGCACACACAGTGGAGAAAGTGTGTAAGCCTCCCACTCGTGAGCATGCCAACTCAACAGACCATGTGCCACGCGCACTCACTCCACGGAAACTTACATGTGCCACTGTTTCTTTGCAAATCTCTCCCTTACCCAGTCCCTCCTTACAACGCCTTCTCCGCGCTCTTTTAACCTCCTGTTTGTTCCTTTCCTCCTGCCTTCTCTTACTATGTTCCCCCCCTCCCCGACCCCCCCCCCCCCTTTCCTTCCAAAAAAACTCTCCCGTGCTTCTCACCCATCCAGCCATCCACCCGACCACCTTCTCCTCTGCTGCATCCTCACCTCCCTCCTTTCCTATCTATGCTTCCTTCCCTTCTCCCCCCTCCGCGGCCCCCTTCCCTCTCCCCGTCCTCCCAGAGGGCCTCCCCCATGCTCCTCACTCATGCAGCCGTCCACCCACCCACCTTCACCTTCGCTGCACCCCCACCTCTCTCCATTCTGTGCTCTCTCCTCCCCTCTATTGTTTCTCACTCTCTTCTCTCTCATCCCGTTTCCCCTTGCCTCTCCCTGTCCTTACAGAGAGCCTCCCTTGTGCTGCTCACTCATGCAGCTGTCCACCCAACCACCTTCACCTACGCTGCAACCCCACCACCGCCACTCCCCACCCTTTCCTCCTCCTCCACTTCCTCCCCGATCGCCTCTCCACCCCTCCTGCCCTGGCTGCTCCATCTCTCTGACGTGCTCGTGCTGCTGAGACCACTTACATCAGGCCATGCATCGGACATCCATGGGCAGGTAAGAGTGCGATTGATCATCTGCTTTTGAGGCGCCTCAAAACAGGTAAGAGTGCGATTGATCATCTGCTCCGTGTCGTCTCTCCTTCAACCCCCCTCCCATCGCGTCTTTCCCCTGCTCCTTCCCGCCCTGCCATTGCACCTCTCTGATGTGCTCGTGCTGCGGAGACTGCTCACAGCAGGTCATGCATGAGACATCCACTGGCAGGCAAGAGTCGCCCTGACCTGATCATCCCCCGGCTCCTCCCATTGCCTCTCCGCCCCTCCTGCCCTGCCTCCTTCACCTGTCTGACGTGCCCATTCTTTTGAGTCCACTTAGAGTAGGCCATGCACACGGTGAGATAATGTATGGCAGCTGAGTGAGATAATGTATGGGCAGGTGAATTGATGTTTGGGCAGGTGAGATAATGTATGGGCAGGTGAATTGATGTATGGGCAGGTGAATTGATGTATGGGCCAGTAAAATCTTCAGAGGCAGGCGAAATTGTTCACGAGCAAGTTAGGTTGAAAGGCTGAAGAAGAGATGTTGCTCACATGGTTACTACGGTGTGCTGCCCTGCACCACCTGCACTTCGCATTCTCCCCCTTCAACCTCCCTCCCACAACAGACAGATATCGTGTATCTCACTCCCACGCTGCTGCACGGCCCATCACATGGGAACGACGCATCCTCCCCCTCACTCCCCATGTTCCTTTCCCCCTCACTCCCCATGTTCCTTTCCCCCTCACTCCCCATGTTCCTTTCCCCCTCACTCCCCATGTTTCTTTCCCCCTCACCCCCATGTTCGTTTCCCCCTCACTCCCCATGTTCCTTTCCCCCTCACCCCCATGTTTCTTTCCCTTTCCCTGTCATGTTTCTTCCCATGCCACACCGGGCGGACAATGTTCATCTCACACCCACACTGCTGCACGGCCCATCCCACAGGGATGGTGGTTGATCGTAACACTAACTTCAGATGTCCTTGCTGCTGCCATTGTGCTCCCTGCTGTCCCTCTTCCCTGCCTTTGCCATACCAGGCAGACATCGTGCATCTCACACCCACGCTGCTGCACGGCTCACCACACGGGGATGACTCACACCACCCTGCCTGCCAGCAGCAGCACCTGGTGTATCAGATCACCGACACTGGCGCTGTGTTTGCTGCCACACAATAGGCAGGATCTCAAATACAAGTACTCTCGTCCTCACAGGGTGCTACCACCTGGCTCTGCCTTTCCGCCACCGCTGCTGGCAGCAGCACCTGGTGTATCAGATCGCGGATACTGGCGCTGTGTTTGCTGCCACTCAGTAGATAACTCTCAGAAACATGCTGAGGGTGCTAGCTTACCACTGCTGCAAGCAGCGCCACTGCCACTTACCCTGCCAGCAGTAACACGTAATGTATCAAATCATGGACTCCGGCGCCGTGTTTGCTGCAGGGCTCTCGTTATCAGACCATTTTGGTCTGATGGTCTGATTTTCAGACTAATTTTTTTTATATCCATCTGATTTTCCAATCTAGATCAGACAAAACAATTGTTTTGCCTGGGGGACCCGTCTGACAGAATCAGACGCCCTCAGATCCTAGCAAGAGCCCTGGTTTGCTGCCACTCAATACATCACTCACAACACCATGAGCTTGCAAAGATGACACACCACCCCGCCACATTCCCTGCCAGCAGTGACATGTGGTGTATCAAATCTCGGATACCGGTGCTGTGTTTGCCGCCACTCAATAGATACGACTCAGAGCACCAGGTTACCACCTGTGCCAGCAGCACCACTGCCGCCCTTCCTGCCAGCAGCAGCATGAGGTGCATCATATCGCGGATGCTGGCGCAGCACTGGGTTTGCTGCCACGTAATGAGTGTTGGGAACAATAAGTCCTAAACGCCTCTGTCGTGTCGAAACTCAGGACACAAGCGAAGCAGCTCAAATCGAAGCGCAACGAGTCAACCCTCGGAGGTTAGGGTAACCGCTGGAGGTTACGAGAAGGTCAAAGGTCAGCGACCTTTGACTTGACAAATGCAGCGCGACAGCAAGGACACACAACTGACTCGACATTGAACAGTTGCCCGAGTCGCACTGTATCGAATCGCAACAGTAAAACAGTTTAATCATATCTATTCGTATTCCTTGTACTCTTATATAAACCTTTGTATTTGCTTGTTTTAATCAACTTACTTTGCCCTCACATACCGTACCGTACTAGCGCAAGGTGGTTCAAGGACTTTTATTTAACGCTTCCTCTATTACGGTACATCATCCTACTCAGACTTTAACTCTACAAAGATCCTAGGGCACCTCAGCCCAACATGGTATGAGAGCAAGTTAGAGTTCAAAGTTACTTTCCTTTAACACTCAATACAAGAAGACATGTCTGCTAGAAAGGAGAGGAGCTCCTCCAACGGCTCTCCCGGCACTACCCCTACTCCACCTCCTGTCTCTGGCCTACAGACAGAGGAAGGGACAACCACGAGACCAGCAGCTGGGTCTACGGAAACACCCGCGGGCTTCGATCCAAGTATGATGGAGAAATTTTTCTCCTTCATGTCCTTCTACGAGCAGCATCAGCAAGGAGTACCTGCGCAGTCAAACAACAGCAACAACAACAACGTGACACCCATGAGTCTCGACGGCTCATCCTACGCACGCGGGATTCAACAACAACAACAACAGCCTACCTTCGCTCCGTACGAGCCCCAGCGCGGCTCCGTCAGCTTCATGCCGCAACCTCAATCTGCACCGGGACAAGAAAGAGCACTGGACGCATTACAAGTTCAATCGCAATTCGCGCATGTCCTAAAACTTCAAACGACAAAGCCTTTCGACGGAAAAGATTTCTTCACCTGGTCGTTCGAGTTCGAGCTGATGATGGAAGGAGCACAGATTCTTGGCTTCTTCGACGGGTCCCTGCCATATCCAACAAACGGCACGCAGTATGAGAAGCAGCAGTACACCTATCAATCAATGATGGCGTACACAATACTGTTGAGGAACATCACCCCGACCCAACAGCAAAACATCAGAACTTACCGAGGCTACGGCAACTCCGCGGAGCTCGCGTACAACCACCTGAAGAACCTGTATCAAGCAACAGACAGTGTAAATCAAAGCCGGTTAATGGCGCAGCTGACAACAATTGAAATGAAACCAGGCGAGAAAGGCATGGCTTATATCAATCGCTGCCGCGAACTGCGCGACAAGCTTCTTCGATGCGGAGGATCAATCTCAGAAGACGCCTTCGTCACGGTAGTCATCGGCGGTCTTGGCCCCCACTGGCGCTCCACTCGCGCCATACTACGAGCACACGGGAGAATCTCCGAAGCGGCACTCTGTGCCCAAATTCATGCCGAGCAGCAGGACATGGACCTGCAAGAAGAAAGACACAAGAAGAAAACATTAGTACCGGAGTTTGCATTCCACACTCAGCGACGATACAACAACAACAACAATCGGCAACAACAAGTGAAGACAGTACCTCCGTTCTGCCACATCTGCAAGACCTCGTGTCATCCTCGTACGCAGTGCCCGTCTCGTCAGACAACACCACAGCGACAACTTCGACCTTCAAGCTCCCAAGTCGCCTCAACGCAAGCAAAGCCGACAACTTCAATCCAAGCTTCAACGACTTCAACTGGACAATCTGCACAAGGAGCAAGAAACATCGTCAACTGCATGGCGAAGATAACAGACTCATGCACAACCGAGTCACCACCTCATTACTCACCGGAAGAAGAACTCGACAACAGCACGCCTCGCCGCGAGTCACTCCAGCCGAACCCGACGTACGCTGCCATCGCTCAAAATGAACCGTCCGGACAAGACACTTGGTTCTTGGACAGTTGCTGCGGGCAACATATGTGCTCCTCAGGACGCTTCGTTCAACGCGAACATCGACTTCAGCGAGAAGTAGTCATCACGGTCGCCAACAACCAGAACCTGCGCACACGACGACAAGGAGTAGTACAACTTCCGTCACGAGAAACAAACGTTATACTGCACATGTCAAAGGTACTTATCGCGGAGGGACTCGGCTATAACTTACTGAGTGTCAGCCAGCTGATGGCAAAAGGCATCCACTTGGAAGCCGACAGCACCACCCAGGAGTTTAAGCTGTACCACGGGAAGGGCGGTCACTACATCGGAAGGGCAGTTTTGAAGAACAACGTCTTCGTTCTTGATTTCGTCCTAGACCTGGGCACTGCAAACAGCGATGCCATCGTCAACTTCGCCGATTGGACACATCCCCCGGATCTCGATCACGACTTCAGCCCGGGAGGCTTCTGGTACTCGCACACCATCCCTGAAGCAGAACGAACACGCGCGTTAGCAACAATTCAACAAACGGCAGCAGCAGAAACAACATCGGCAGCAACAGAGACAACATCGGTAGCAGCAGAGACAACATCGGCAGCAGCAGAGACAACATCGGCAGCAGCAGAGACAACATCGGCAGCAGCAGAAACATCATCGGCAGCAGCAGGACCAACGACACCAGTCTTCGTCGACGAAGCACCACCAACACCCGCACAGCAGCTGAACCCGACTCAACGAGAAGTCCACAGAAGCGCTAACTTCGTCGCCAGCTTCTACTCCAACTCCGACGCGTATCAATGCTCACCCGGACATCGCGCTCCTGAAGACATCTGGCATGCACGCACAGGACATCCGAGCAACACAGTATGAAATAATATAATACGAGCAGGAGTCCTAGACAAGGATTCGCTACTACTACCCGACGGCAGAGAACTTCAACGGGCACGAGGAACTTGCCTCATCTGCCCCGAAGCCGACTTACCACATCAACCGTTTACTTCTCACCACAACCCGAGCGCACCCGCGTACGCACCACTCGAGAAGGTGTACAGCGATATTCTCTTCAATCGAGAACCAGGACAAGTTACCTACAATTACACAATAACCTTCATCGATGCCGCTACTCGATACGTCTGGCACCGAAACTTACCCAGCCGCGACATGGCACTCGCAGCATTCGCCGCCTGGCTACCAGTAGCAGAGAGAGAATCGGGAACACAGCTGAAAAGCTTCCAGTCAGACGGAGGAGGAGAATACACCTCTCAGCGCTTCAAGCAATACCTGGCGGAAAGGGGAATCAAGCAACTCCTCTCCCTTCCCTACCCCCATCAGCAGCAAGGTGTTGCAGAAAGAATGAACAGGACCTTACAGAACAGCATGCGCAAACTGCTACGTGGCATGCGGCTACCCAACCACCAGTGGCCTGCAGCAATGGACCATGCTGTCATGCTGCACAACTTGCTGTCGTCGTCCTCACTCCCGAACAACGCATCACCGCATCTGCTGTGGACAGGGAAGCAGGGCAGCACAAAAATGTTACGAGTTTTCGGATGCATGGTACAGTACCGACCCCCAGAAGCACGAGTGGGAAGATTTTCACAACGGGCACAGTGGGGACTACACCTCGGCATCGAAAAGAATTACAACGCGTGGAAAATCTTCAACGTCCACTCAAAGGAAACAGTAGCAGCACGTGTCGTAATCTTCTACGAGCGACTCACCCTTCAGACGTACCTCGCCAACTTGCACGAGAATCAGGACCCCACAGGTGGCTTTCGTGGTGACAGAGCCTTCGCCTCAGCAGCGGACGAAGCAGACTGGGATGAACAGAACGTCGACAACGCATCGGAAGAAGCCGGACCTCTTCCGTTCTGCTCCGTCGACGTCCCCATGGACGAAGACAATCCTCGCGACACTGTCAACGCCGAAGTTTTCTACCACTTCGCCGACAACAGTTACGTAACACCTGCGACAGTCAACACAAACGAAGCAGAACGGATAGGGCTGAATTTCATACCCGACCCAGAAGCGGGAGACGAAGCAGCTTATCCCGAGGATCCAACACTCCCCCACTACTCACAGACTGGACTGCAGATTCTCGGCCTCGTCACCGCAGTCCACGGCAACGCTCTTCCTAAA